GAGTAAAACTAATCGATGCTATCGGGAGTCAGGGGAGTGACTGCCCTGCAGGAGCCGTGTCCAGAGGAGAACCTGAGAGGATCTGCAGGGCTGGGATGTGTTTCTCATCTGACTGCTGGTGACTCATGTTTGTTTAGTTTCTAAAAAGTCCTGCCAACATTTTCTGACTTGGCTCTATATCCAAAAACAATGTGAGCATCATTGTTTTTCAATCTGTCTGATTATTATGTGGTCCGGAGTTCCTGTATGCTTTCCTCTGCTGTTCTTGCTTTCAGAATCCTATTTTCTGTGTGTCTGCTTCTCTGGGTTTGGGCTGAATATTGTGCTTAAAAGCTATTAACAAAATAATTGGAGGTCTAAGATGGCATTATTTCCCTCCAAATATGATTTTTGTCTAATGGCAGTGACTTAGTACTCAGGGTTGCTAGCAATCTGGAATCATCCTAACCCAGATTTAGTGCTTGAGATTTTCCCAGTCCCCCACAGACGCAAAGCCAGGGGGCAGCATTTCCGTGAAGTCTTTAATTACAGCTCGCTCTTATTCCTACGGCACCTCCAGGATGGCTGCCCAAGGTGGAATTGGTTCACTCCTTAAAAACAACTCATTTCCCAAGACGGTTGTTAATAGATACTAACACTGGAGCAATTCTCCAGCTTCATCTCAACAAGCTGCCTTGGGATTGCCTCCCTGAGGCCCCTCCAGAACTGACTAATGGCTCCAGCTCAGCCCCTTTCTCATGACCCTGGTTTCAAGGGCTCAGTTCTCAGAGTCCCTGGGATCCTCAGAGTGCCCACAGCCTTGCTTTCTCCTTCTACGCAGGCACTGAAGATCCAGGCACTAATCCCTCCTTCCCAACATCAGCCAACAGGACGAATCACCAAATCCTATTCAGAAACAATGCCTGACGATCCTTTGTGACCTGACCGTTTTCGTCCTGCGCAGAAGGAAAGGGGAGCAGCAGAACTAGGCAACTTGGAGGCCGGCACAGAGTGGGTAAGGTCTGGACATCTCAGACATTCTCCTCTGTCCTCCTGTCCCCGCCCCTCGCTTCCCCTCCGTCTCTCCCACTCCCTCTCCCTCTCCGCTTCCTCATCTTCTCTCTTCTTCATGTTCTCTATCTCACAAAGATACATACTTTGAAAATCTTCATAGAATCTACCTTCCGTGTGTTTAAAGGTGATACACCAATCCCTCCCATCTTTGTAACATTCTGTGGTTTTTAATCTGCTGGCAAACACAAAAGGCTTTCAGGGTGAGATGAGGAGGCTCCAGGAGGTTGTGGGCCCTCCCCAAGGTCATGCACGGGGAGCAACCCAGGAGGTAAGGAAGGGAAGTTGTCTAATGCTGAGTCTGGAGCCCTTTCCCATACCGTCCCAGACTTTCTCCTCTCCACCCAGCCACACTGCAGAGAGCTTCGTGTCTCCAAAGACAGCTGACCACACCAATGCACAGAACCCACCGACTCTTACAGACTAGGAGCAGCGGTTTCCAAAGTGTACCTTCAGAATCAGCAGCTGATTTTTAAAACAAAAACAAAAAACTTCCGTCTCAAAACTGAAGTAAGGGAACCAGGAAATGGGCTTTTTGCATATTCTGATGTGCACTAAAGTGTGGGAGATGCCTGGTTGAGGACTAGGAAGTAGAGGTACCCATTCCTTTGTATATCTTCTGACTATCCCCAGCCCTCTTACCTGTCTCCCACCTTCTCTCCTGTCAGGCAGATGTCCCACGGGGCCCTGCATCCAGGCAGCAGGCTGTGGAAGGAAGTCGTTGCTGATGAGGTCTAAGGGGGTGGACGATCTTTGTCTCCATGGCAGAAACAAGGTGGTGGCTGGGTGTGCTCAGGGACAGGGTCACTCAGGGAGTCACTGGGTGTTCTTTTCCATCCTCAGGTCAATGTGGGGTCTTGGAGTGGTCTCTGGAATGAGCCCATCAGTTCTCCTTTCTCATTAAAACTATTAGCTTTTCTAAGAGATCTCTTTATCTTAACATCTCACTTAAGTACTGTGTGTAATAAATGAGCTCATTCGTGGTGTAGGAGAATTATGTAACAAAACCAGACTTGGGAAACTGTACATATCAAAAGTCTCCAGAGCCTGTCCAAAGGGTTACTCCTGTTTTAACTCAAATGCAAAGGACCACCACATGGTCACTCTGTCATTTGGAATCTCAATGTTAAAAGTGAAATGAAGCAACACCTACCTTCACTAAATGCTTGAATCGAGTCTGCAGTGAACACTCACACTGCTATTTCCTACGGCCTGTTCTAAGGCCTTCTGTGATGGGGAACTCACTTCCCCATTCCTGGGAAATACTGTGGCTTCTCTCTCTCTCTCTCTCTCTCTCTCTCTCTCTCTCTCTCTCTCTCTCTCTCCCTCTCATTTTCCAGCTCCTGACCTGGCCAATCCACATCTCTTTGTGTGGGAAGTCTGTAATGATAAGTTTCCTCACTCCTCTCTCTCCTATAGCTGGCACCAGGGGCCAACCACAAGCAGTCTCCACAGGGCCATTCTGGCTCATTCCCTGCAGACACAGGAGGGCTGAGGCTGCTTCTGTCTGAGCGGGAGGCAGAGCCAGGCCCAGGATGGAGTCAAGACTGGGCCCCTTAGTCACTCCTTGTCTTCAAAACAGGGTTTTCAACTTGAGGGATTTGGGAGATAGAAAATTTTGAGAAATGATAAATAATAGAACTCTTTAAATCCCCACCACAGCCCTCCCTCTTACACAAGTCAATGGAGTTTCTCACACTGTCGTCCCTAAAGTCAGTTGTGATTCCACCATATTCCTTTATTTCACGATCTTATTTTTCACCCAAAAGCAAAATTTCTTGATAGTGGCTCACTTTCCTCTGACAAATGCAATATCCTCCTGCCATGAATATCATGAATTAATTTTTAAGTTTTCTCTTTTTTCATAAAATCTTTTCATAAATGTATTATTCACCTGAATATTAAGAATGATACTCTTCTGTTATACTGTTGAGTCTGTTTAAAACAATATTTTAATCTATTTATTTTCAAAGAGGCAGGTTGGGTTTACTGCAGGTTATTTTAGGGGAGATGGAGTAGAATCACCAAAATGAAATGCTAATTGATATCCAGTATAGTAATAGTATAATTCTAAGACATATAACAGAAAGAAAGAATGAAACTGGCCAGTGTGATTCATTGGTTGAATGTCAACCTATGACCAGGATGACAGGGCACATGCCTGGGTTGTGGGCTTGATCCCCAGTAGGGTTCATGCAAGAGGCAGCCAATTGATGATTCTCTCTCATCGTTGATGTTTCTATCCCTCTCTCCCTCTCCCTTCCTCTCTGAAATCAATAAAAACATATTTTAAAAAATAAAGAATGAAAGAAGATTCACCTAAAATGAGAGCAGGCATATTTTTATTTATTTATTTTCAGGAGGCATAATTTTATTTTATTTTTTGAGGAGGCATAAGTTTAGATTGGAAAACACATTCTAAGTCAGATAAGTCAATGAAGGAGAAACACCCCTGAATGAAACTTGGTAAATTTTTTAATTTTAAGATTAAAGGAAAATCATGCAGGAAGAAATGTAAGGTTATTCAAGAAGAAATAATAGGTAATAAAGGACAATATTGACTTGGAGAAAGTTGCCCTCACGTATTGAGTGCGTCAAGTTGACTGAAAGCACAAAACTGAGAGTGTGTTCACCACAATGTTGACAGCGCCTGCATGACAGAATTTGAAATGACTTTAACTTTCTTTCTATTCCAATTTCTTGTATTGCTTGAATTATTCACATTGGGATTTTTGTTCATAATCATTAGATTGCAATGTATTAAAAACTATTTGGGGGAAATGAATTCCATGGGATTTCTATAAAAATTACCTCATAAGTTATTGAAGAAAAGTCAACAAATTTCAAATGGTGGAAGTTGACAATAAGTGAATACAAGTTTCAGACAGACTCTAATGCAAACAAATCATATCAGAAAGGTATAGGGATGGCACATAAAAAAGGAACTATAGATAAGCCTCATTTATAAATATGATTACAAAAGTCTAAATAAAATAATTGAAAATCAATTTTAAATTTTATACTGGGAATGCAAGTGTGGTTCAATGGGGGGGATAGGGACTTATGTAATTCTTTCAACAATAAAGATTTTTAAAAAAGATTTTACTTTATGCCTCTCTGAAGAATTTGAAGACCCTGCCTGCTACTTGTTAACATCTTCATGCATAGTTTTGTTTGTTGATAATGTCAATGGAATTGTACATCATATTTTAATCTTATTATTCCTGATTATTATGTACATATATTAATAATAATAATGAATATTTCTTGAGTACTCACTGAAAGTTAGCTCCTTATGGTAAGCAATTTATAATTTAATTTTATTATCACCCTGACCCATTTTTCACATAAAGAAATAAAGTCAAAGAATTCATGTAACTTGCCTAAGTTTTCAGAGCTAGAAAATGTCAGAGCTCAGACTTGATTTCAAGTGTTCTGAAAGTTCTTATTTCTAATGGCATGTCAACAGACTGTCTTGTTTTCAAGGTAGATCATCATATCAGCAAATAATGATAATTTTTCCATTTTCTTTTCAATATTTTTACATTCCCCTTTGTCCAATTATATACCATCAATTTCTTATACTGCATGTACCTGTTTTATATATAATGTAAGTGTATACACTATCATAATATAACATACTAATATTTAAGCACTTCCAAAAGAATTGCAAGATGATTATATTTAAAATGATACAATTGATGTTATTCCTATTATATTGAGTATGCCAGATTAGATGTAGCTGGAATTACTAAATTTCATAAAGATTTTTCATGCCCTGTTTTTGTGTCTATTATTACATTGTTCCTTATGCAAAAAAATGATAAAGTTTAGCCTAAGATATTTTTTAATGCTTAAAAAGAGTTGGTTTTAATTAATTGAATGTCTTTATTTGATTTAGGGCATATAGTAAATGTCTGTTGATGCTGATATTACAGAAAGTTGGGGAAATGGGTGGAGGCAACCAGAGTGGAGCCTCTGAGTTCCTGCTCCTGGGGATCTCCGAGAGCCCTGAAGACCAGCGGGTCCTGTTCTGCATGTTCCTGTCCATGTACCTGGTCACGGTGGTGGGAAATGTGCTCATCATCTTGGCCATCAGTTTTGATTCCCGCCTGCACACTCCCATGTACTTCTTTCTGGCCAATCTCTCCTTCACTGACCTCTTCTTTGTCACCAACACAGTCCCCAAGATGCTGGTGAACCTTCAGTCCCAGAACAAAGCCATCTCCTACGTGGGATGTCTGACACAGCTCTACTTCCTGGTCTCCTTGGTGGCCCTGGACAACCTCATCCTGGCCACAATGGCATATGACCGCTTTGTGGCTATCTGCCGCCCTCTCCACTATGCCACAGCCATGAGCCCCAGCCTCTGTATTTTGTTCCTGACCTTATGTTGGGTGTTCTCTGCTCTCTATGGCCTCATCCACACCCTCCTTATGTCCAAAGTAATCTTCTGTGGGTCCCGGAAGATCCACTACATCTTCTGTGAGATGTATGTCCTGCTGAGGCTCGCGTGTTCCAACACTCAGATCAATCACACAGTGCTGATTGCCACGGGATCCTTCATCTTCTTTACCCCTTTGGGTTCATGATCATGTCCTATGTTTGGATTGTCAGAGCCATCCTTCAAATACCATCCGCCTCCAGCAAGTACAAAGCCTTCTCCACCTGTGCCTCCCATTTGGCTGTAGTCATTCTCTTCTATGGGACACTTTGTATGGTATATTTGAAGCCCCTGCACACCTATTCTATGAAAGACTCAGTGGCCACAGTGATGTATGCTGTGGTCACCCCCATGATGAACCCTTTTATCTACAGCCTGAGGAACAAGGACATGCATGGGGCTCTGGGAAGACTTTTCCTAGGGAAAGCCTTTCAGAGATTCACATGAGGGTTATTTTGGACAGGACATTACAATAAAGACTCAAAATTTCCACCACCGTGTGCAAAGCATTACCCTATGGGGGATACAGGAGAGATTAGGCCATAGCTCCATCTTAGAAGGAGGTCATGTATCTTCGATGAATAAAATACATATATGTGTAACCCAATGTCCCTCAGACCTCATCAGCTCTGGCAATAAATAAGGTCACACAATGCTAATACTAGAAGTTTGCAGGATTAAAGCCTTCTGCTTGCCTGACACAGGACCACAGTCCCAGCCTTATCTAGTTATGTCTTAGTGGGACTCTCATGTTCTTTCGCACATGCCCCTCATATTCTTCTGAACTCTTAGGGGCCTGCTGCCTGGAAGCCATTTATAAAAGACACCTTGCACTGCTCCCATAGAAGATTTATTGGGTGAAGCTGGCCCTTTCTTAATGCTCTGTTGGGCTCAGCTCCCACTGCTTCAACGCTGAACCACAGTCCCTCTGGACACAGCCCCTGATGTTCAGACAGAATGGCAAGAGATCTCTCTTCTTTGCTCTGGGAAGATTTTTGTCCTTTGGTCTTCAAAATAATATTGCCTTGCCTTTTTTCTGAATTTCTTTTCTCTGAGAGAAGTTAGATTTTATCTTTGGGTGTCCACCCTTTCCTTTACGTCTGTGGCTCCTCATTTCCCATCTCGTCTTCATTTCTTTTAAAAAGAACTCTCAAACATATCAGCACAAGCTTATGAACAGGAATGGTGGTGGAGGCAGTAGGAGGGGAGAAGGTAATTTTGAAGCCCAATCTCTACTTAGGTTATATGGTTCTGACACCAATTCTGATGTGCATGCTTTTTCCACACCACCTACCATTTCTCCAACACCAACTGGGTATCCTACAATTCAACTCCATTCTGATACTATTTACCTGGAGATAAAATCAGATTCCATAGGTTAAGGGCTCAGTCCTACAAGACTTCCCTGTCCCACAAACACACTTCAGACACAAATCACAAGGCCAGGTTGTCATCTGTGCTTCTGATTGACTAGCTATGGATGGAAGGTTCCAATAATCCTCTCCATGGGTTCAATTAATTTGCTAAAACAGCTCTCAGATCTCAGAGAAACATTTTACTTACTAGGTTACCAGTTTATTCTAAAAAGATAAAACTCAGGAACAGCCAGATGGAGAATATGCATACAGCAAGGTGTGTGGGAAAGAACATGGAGCATCCATGCCCTCTCTGGGTATTGCACTCTCTAGAAATCTCCCACCCCTGTCCTTTCATGTTTTCATTCAGGCTTCCTTACATAGGCATGACTGATTAAACCATTGGCTATCAGTGATTAAGTAAATCCTGCTCTTCATCTCTCGAGAGATGAAGAGCACCAACCTTAGGTGCTTTCCCAAGGTCACCTCATGAACATAAACTCAGGTCTATTTGAAAGGGGGTTGTAATCAATAAGACACCATTAAACTCTTCTCAGGAAATTCCAAAGGTTGGTTTTAGGAGCTCTGTGCCAGAAATAGGAGGAAGATATAAATAAATCACAATATCACAGCCATGTTAATAGATAGAAAGGCTCAATATTGTGAAGATCTCAGTTCTTCCCAATTTGATCTACAAATTAAGTGTAATCCCAATCAAAAGTCCAGCAAGTTATTTTTTTTTTGCTAGCAATAAGCAGATTTTAATGTTTAGAGAGACAGGCAAATGACTCAAGAGTCAACACAATATTTAACTTTAAAAAAGTTGATTGACCCTATGCAACTTCTATAACGTTACAGTGATCAAACTGTAGTATTGGAGAAAGAATGGACAAAAATTTAATTGAACAGAACACAGAGCCCAGAAATAGACCCACATAAATGTGGTCAACTGATCTTTAACAAAGGAGCAAAGGCAATACAATGAAACAAAGATAATATTTTCAACAAATGGTTCTGAAACAACTGACTATTCACATTTTATTTTTTTAAATATATTTTATTGATTTTTTACAGAGAGGAAGGGAGAGGGATAGAGAGTTAGAAACATCGATAAGAGAGAAACATCAATCAGCTGCCTCCTGCACACCTCCTACTGGGGATGTGCCCTCAACCAAGGTACATGCCCTTGACTGGAATCAAACCTAGGACCTTTCAGTCCACAGGCTGATGCTCTATCCACTGATCCAAACAGTTAGGGCAACACATTTAAAAAAAAAAAAAGAAACTAGATACAGACCTTCCATCCTTCACAAAAATTAACTGGAAATATATCAGAGATTTAAACGTTAAATGTAAAACTATAAAACGCCTAGAAGATAACATATGAGAAAATATAAATGACCTTGGGTGTGGTGATAACTTTTTAGATACGTCACCAAAGGCATAATCTAGGAAAAAATAATCGATAAGCTGAACTTCATTAAAATTAAAAACTTTTGCTCCATGAAAGGCAATGTCAAAAGAATGAGAAGACAAGCTACAGACTGGGAGAAAATATTTGCAAAAGACACAGTTGATAAGGGGCTGTTAGTCAAAATATACAAATAAAACTTAAAACTCAACAATGAAAAAAAGAAACTGATTAAAAAGAGGGCCACAAATACTCACATAATAAGTCATCAGGAAAATGCAAATTAAAAAACAATGAGATACTACTACACATCTATTAGATTGCCCAAAAACTAGAACCCTGAAAACCACAAATGCTGGTGAAGATTTGAAGCAACAAGAAATCTCATTCATTCCTGGTGAGAATGCAAAATGGCACAGCCACTTTGGAAGACAGTTTGTGGTTTTGTACAAAACTAATATATTTTTGCCATTTGATCCAGCATTCATTCTCCTTGGTGTTTACTTAAAGGAGTTGAAAACTTGTACCCAAACAGAAAAGATGTTTATAACAGCTATGTTCATCACTGCCAAACATTGAAGCAATCAAAATGTCCTTCAGGTGAATGAATAAATAAATTTTTGTACATCTTGACAATAGAATGTTATTTGGCACAAAAAAAGAAATGAGCTATTACTCATAAAAATACATGGAGGAATCTTAACTAACTGGAAGAAACCAATCTGAAAAATCTACACACTGTGTGATTCCAACTATATAACATTCTGAAAAAGCAAACTATAGAGATAGTAAAACTACTAGTGGTTTTAAGGAGTTTGGAGAGAGCAGGGATGAATAGGTGGAACACTGAGGATTTTTCGAGCAGAGATACCATAATGATGGATACCTGTCATTCATTATCCATTGTCCAACCCCATAGAATGTACAACATCAAGTGAACTGTAATGTAAATTATGGACTTTGGGTTATAGTGATGTGACCATATGGATTTACCACTTACAATGAATTTACCACTCTGGTTGAGGATGCTGATATTGGGAGATGCTATGCATGTGTAGAGCCCAGGGGTATATGGGAAATCTCTGTACCTTCTCCTAAGTTTGCTGTAAATCTGAAACTGCTCCAGAAAACAGTCATTTAACTTTTTAAAATTCCAATAGACATTTTTAGAAAAATAGAAATAGAAAAAAGAATCCTAAAATTCATATGGAACCACAAAAGACCCCGAGTGGCTTAACAAACTGGAGCAAGAAAACAAAGCTGGAGGCATTACACATCCTGATTTCAGATTATATTGCAAAGCTACGGTAATCAAAATAATATAGTACTGGCATAAAAACAGATATGGAGACCAGTGGAACAGAAAGACCCCAGAAATAAATCTATAAATATATAATCAACTACTCTTCGACAAAGGCACCAAGAATACAAAAAGGGGAAAGGATCACCTCTTCAATTTTTGATGTTATGGCAAATTGGATGTCTACACACACAGACACAAAATGAGATTTTGCCCATATCTTACACTATATTAGAAATTAACTCAAAAATTAATAAGTATCTAAATATAAGACTTCAAACCATAAATTTGTAAGACAACATAGGGTAAAAGCTCCTTGGCATGATTTCTTGGGTATGACACCAAAAGCACAAGGGGAAAAAAATGGAATTACATAAAAATAAAAAGCTTCTTCTCAACAAAAGAAACCATTGACAAAATGAAGAGGCAACCTATGGAATGGGAGAAAATATCTGCAGACCTTATATAAAAGGTTAATATCCAAACTATAAAAGGAATTCCTGCAACTCAACAGCACAAAAAAGGGAACCCAATTAAAAAATGAGATTTAGCAATCTCACTCCTGGGTATGCATCCAAAGGAACTGAAACCACAATTGTGAAGTGATACCTGCACTACTAGGCGCTTTGCGGCACTAGTCACAGTATGAAAAATATAGGAACAACCTAGGTGTCCATCCACAGACAAATGAAGAAAATAGGATGTATACACATCATGGAATATTACTGACCTGTAAAAAAAAGAAGGGAATTCTGCCATTTGAAAGAGCATGGATGGGCCTGAAGAACGTTCTGCCAGGTGAAATAAACCAAACATGGAAAGACAAATACGGCAAAATCTCACTTATATGTGGATCTAAAAGAGTCAAACTCATCAAAGCAGAGACCAGAACAGTGATTACTAGGTTACCAGAGAGTGGAGGCAGCAGAACCAGGGACCTCTGAGACCAGCACAGAGCAGAGTCTGGACATTTCTGGCTGATGCTCTCTCTGTCCTCCCTTTCTTTTCTTCTCTCCTTGATTTACTCTCCCTCACATACAAACATATAATCTAACTCCTTATTATTTAAGGGCAACATAACAAGCCCTCCAATCATCTTAACACTCTGTAGTTTTCAAAGTGCAGCCAGGTACCCCGTTGTACACCCTTATCAAACCTGCAAGAAAGGCCTTGATCTCTCCCTCACCTCAGACAAAAGTCCATTCTAGGTTGCCAGCAAATCTACATGTGACAGGTTAAGCAATATATTCTTTAGAAGAAAATATAGAAGAATATTGGCAAAAATTCTTAAACAAAATGCAAAAAGCCGTAATTCTAAAATGAAAATTGGTAAACCTGTATGCCTACAGCTATTGGCTCTTGCTTTTGGAATCTTATTTCC